TCAGAAAAGGTTCTATCGAGCGAACACCATTAGATCTCCAGCCGTTCGAGGAGACACAAGTACACTTCGAGTCGCGATCGAATACTCGAGTTTTCAAACAAGTTGTCAATCGTTTCGTGACGCACTCTACGTTTTGCTACGTATCAACAAAACAAATTTGAACTAGTTACCTAAGATTAATTTGGCGGGTAACAGTCGCGACCGCGAGCTTCCTTTTGAATTGACAGATATAGATTGTTTTGAAAATATTTCTTTCTCATATTTTGAATATTTTTATTATCTTCTGTACAGCCGTCAACGATGACGAATGCTTGGCAGCGAACATCTTCGCTCGATGTGGTTTTGAACACGTTAGGGGGCGGTTCCATCAGCTGGTAAATGACTTAAGAAATTTAGGCCAAGAGTAATGTATGTATATCCTCGATCAAACAAGTGACACAAATTCTACGATACTTATAATTAAACGAATCAGTTTTAAGAATGGAAAATAAAATGAAAGATATTGAAACCTTTTCTCTGTGTAGTTAGAACTTAACCCTTTCGTCCCAATAAAATTTTCCTAGTAAAAATAGAAGAATTCCTACGAAGCGATAATTTATTTATTTTAAAAAAATTACAAAATAATTCTTTTTAATATGAAGAAACTAAAAAATAATTCACATACATAGAAAAATATTGCTAGCTATCTTTATCATCTTGATACGTGTTACATAATTTGTAAACAACTATAGATAAGGATACATTGCTTCCAAGTAATTCACTGAATAAATCGTGAAATTCACAGGCAAATCATTTTTCTTTGTAGTAATAGCAAATGTTACGTTTCTGAATAAAATAACGTAAATATTATTTATTTACTGTAATCTCTGTTAAAGTTATGTAACGCTAAATAAATTCTAACGAGGTGTACCGAAACTTTTTTTCACTGCACATTAATTCTCGTGATTTTTCTCACTTTTTTTCTCACTTGTTGCGTTACAGGAGTTCTAGAAATTCGTGTAATTCTCTAGAAATTCAAGAAACACTATTGATTATCGCCTCGATTGCCCAAAGTTAGATAAAATATTCTATCAAATAGTGAATAGTTTACTTTATTTGAAATCATGCGTATAACTATGAAACTAAAATAGTTCGTCTCTTGTGATTCTTAATCTTAATAAAGAGTGCTTACAGTAGTATTTAAAAATAGTATTTTATTTGAAGGATATTGAAAAGTGGGACTTTATTTGGAAACATTT